TACAAGGACATGCAAAGGCTTTTGGTTCCAGGGCTACGCAACCTTCCACCTCACTTCCTCACCTCCGCGTGGCACGCGCCCTTCCTAACCTTTGGTCACACCAACTGCTGGCTATTCCTTAAATGTTCCAGAGCTGTTCAAGCCCCAGAGCCTTTCTGCGGGCTCTTCACATGGAAGGTTCTCCTTTCCCTCCCCTAGGAAACACCTCATCTTTCAAGATTCCAATCAAGTGGTACCAGAACTGAGATGGAGCCCTGTCCCTAAGGCCTTCGATGCTGGTTTTCCCAGGCCCCAGGCCCCTCCCTTCTCCTACAGTTCCTGTGTTCACTTTGATGATCACAATTCTTTACTAATGATTAATGCACTAAATTAACGGAGTAGGACAAGGTCCAGCTGGCCCGGTAAGAGTGCAGGTCACAATACTGAGAATTCAATTGTCACACTAGACTGTAGTTTAGAAGTTCATAGGAACTCCAGGCCCTGATCAAACTCATAACCCATCTACCTACCCATAGACCCGAGATGGGCTGCAGCCCACTTTTGTCATCACAGCATTTTCAGAAGAACACCCAGGCCTGCTATTGCTGACCAATCCAAGGAAGGCCACCAGCACTATGGACCGACCAGAAACCTGCACCAAAACTGGTCATGCACTGCTCAACCTCAGCTTTATAAGATTCACCACCCTGCGGCCAGCGCTGCGGCATAGTGGGTAAAGGTACCTCCTGCAGTGCCAGCATTCCCAAATGGGCGCCGGTTCGAGTCCCATCTGCTCCACTTCTGATCCAGCTCTCTGCTATGGCCTGGGAAGGCAGTGGAAGTTGGCCCAAGAGTGCTTGGTCCCCTGCACCTGCACAGGAGACCCGGGAAGAAGCTCCTGGCTCCTGGCTTTGGATCGGCCCAGCTCCAACCATTGTGGCCATTTGGGGAGTGAACCAGCAGATGGAAGACCTCTCTCTTTCTGCCTCTGCCTCTCTGTAACTCTGTCTTTCAAATAAATAAATATATCTATAAAAAAAAAAAAGATTCACCACCCCTAGTCCCCTGGGGATTCCAGGAATGCAGTCAGAGCTGCCTGGCTCCTTACTCTGTGCCTTGCAAAGTAAACTCCTACTTTCCTCTACTGCTCCAGTGGCAGTGACTGGCTTGCTGCATGGCAGGTGAGCACACCAGGTTTTTTTTGGTTTCTTCAACAAAACTGTGAAATGTTCTGATTTTCCCAAGGATTATAGTCACTCTGCTGCTGCTTCCAGGGCTCTGTTATAAGAATACGCTATCATTTTAAATGTCTCCCTTATTAGTGTGTGAATTTCCCAAGGACAAACGCCCATGCCCTTGTTTATTTTTGTATTCACAGCACCTAGCCAGTGCTTGACATATAGGTTGTGCCACATAAAAGCTTGTGACATGGCCTGAATGTTTGTTTCATAAATCACATTTTGAAGACTCAAGATAAGTATTCATAGTACATAAGCTTATAATTGAGACAGGAATTATATTAAATAATGTCAATGTATTTTAAGAATGCTTATTTTCCTCATACAAACTAATAAAACATGTCTTAAAAGTTAAATCTATGAGTGGGCTTTTAAAAATATTTCTTTAGTTTATTCAAAAGACAGAGTTACAGAGAAAGGAGGCAAGATAGAGAGAAAGTGAGGTCTTTCCCTGCTGGTTCACTCCCCAAATGGCCACAATGGCTGGGGCTGGGCCAGGCCAAAGCCAGGAGCAGGAGCTTCTTCCATGTCTTCCATGTGAGTGAAGGGGCCTAAAGACTTGGGCCATCTTCAACTGCTATCCCAGGCACATTAGCAGAGAGTAGATCAGAAGTAGAGCAGCCGGTAAAATAAATCTTAAAAAAAAAAAAATGGTGCTGGTGCTCCCACAGGTTAACGCCCTGGCCTGAAGTACCGGCATCCCATATGGGTGCTGCTCCTCTTCCAATCCAGCTCTCTGCTATGGCCTGGGAAAGCAGTAGAGGATGGCCCAAGTCATTGGGCCCCTGAACCCACATGGGAGACCCGGAAGAAGCTCCTGGCTGATGCATCGCTTCAGATCGGCACAGCTCCGGCTGTTGCAGCCATCTGGGGAGTGAACCAGCGGATGGAAGACCTCTCTCTCTCTCTCTCTCTCTCTCTCTCTCTCCCTCTCTCTGTAACTCTGTCTTTCCAATAAATAAAATAAATCTTAAAAAAAAAAAAAGTGGAGCAGCTGGGACTCGAAATGATGCCCATATGGGATGCGGGCATTGCAGGCAGGCAGCAGTTTAATCTGCTGTGGCACAATGCTGGCCTTTATGAGTGGGTTTTTTAAAAATTTATTGCTTACATTCACTTTTTTTTTAAGCTTTAGCTCTTATCTGCTGGTTCACTCTCCAAATACCCTAAACTCCTCGGGGTTGGGCCAGGTCAAAGTCAGGAACCAGGGACTCAGTTCAGGTTTCCCATGCTAGTGGCAGGGACCCAACTCCTTGAGCCATCAGCTACTGCCGCCCAGAAGACAGTAGCAGGAATCTGGACATAAGAACTGGACACAGGTATGGAACCCAGGCACTTCAGCATGAGAGAGGTATCTTAGCTGGTAGGCTAAATCCCTACCCATGAATTTATTGGCAACTTCACAAGTACCTGATCAATAAATAAAATAATCATTTTCATGGTGACTCATAGAAAAGCCTTGAATTTGTGCTCGAATGTGATTGCATATCTTTCTGGTTTGGATAATCATTCTGTTACTCTTACGCATGGCCTTGACCGAAGTTGACATTCCATGAAATTGCTTATCAGGGGTGGGAAACCTTTTCTCCAACATAACAGTGAAACGTTCTGATTTTCCGAAGGATTAAAGCCACTGTGCTGCTGCCAGGACTCTGTTATATTAGAACACTCTTTATCATTTTAAATGATATTCATGACATCATTCGTGGGCCATTAAGAATTATCAACTTGGAGGCCGGTGCCTCGGCTCGATAGGCTAATCCTCCGCCTACAGTGCCGGCACACCGGGTTCTAGTCCCGGCCGGGGCACCGGATTGTCCCGGTTGCCCCTCTTCCAGTCCAGCTCTCTGCTGTGGCCCAGGAGTGCAGTGGAGGATGGCCCAAGTGCTTGAGCCCTGCACCCGCATGGGAGACCAGGAGAAGCATCTGGCTCCTGGCCAGTGCACTGGCCATAGTGGCCATTGGAGGGTGAACCAATGGAAAAAGGAAGACCTTTCTCTTTGTCTCTCTCTCTCACTGTCCACCCTGCCTGTCAAAAAATTAAAAAAAAAAAAAAAAGAATTATCAACTTGGGGCCGGTGCTGTGGCACAGCTGGTTAAAACCCCAGTCTCCAGCGCTGGCAACCCATATGGCGCCAGTTCAAGCTGTGGTTGCTCTGCTTCCAATCCAGATCCCTGCTAATGCACCTGGGAAAGCAGCAGAGGATGGCTTAAGTCCTTGAGTTCCTGCACCTATGTGGGAGACCCGGAAGAAGCTCCTAGCTCCTGGCTTTGGATCAGCTCAGCTCCAGCCACTGCGGCCATTTGGGGAGTGAACTAGGGGATGGAAGATCTTTCTCTCTCTGTCTGTCTCTACCTCTCTCTGTAACTCTTTAAAAAACAATCCATGGGCCAGGCATTGAGGAGAAAAGAAAAAATTATTTAAAAAAAAATCATCAACTTAAAAAACAGCCTGCTACAGATTTATTAGATTTTGAATTCCATCTGCAAGTGCCCCGGAAGCACTAGACCACAGGATTTTGCCTGGCATGCTGCATGCTCACCACGCTTCCCAGCATAAGCAGGAGAGCACCAGAGTCCAACTCTTTTTGACAGACCACCTACCACCCGACAATTATCAAGCGACTTTTTTCTTCCTCGTGTGGTCATGATCAATACTGCCTGATTGCAACCCTCAGTAGCTACGGACTTGCGTAGTCAGCCTCCTGAGGCTGTGTCCACATCTGTAAAATGGAGATAACAATAAGGCATATTTTATAGGATTTTCCTGATATTAGATGAGTGACCACAAGTAAAGTGCTAGGCACAGGCAGATGGCAGTGTATTTTTGCATTAGCGTCAACCTATTTCATCCATTCAACCAACACACATTTATTTAGATACCACGTATTGGAGTAAGTTACTTGCCTTTTTGAATGACCAGGTTTAAAAATTCTGGCTGTGGAGTGTTTAGAAAAGTTCTAACTGGTTGATTACAGATTAATTTGCATTTTAACCCATAATCCTGATCACATATCCAATAAACACTTTTCCCTTGTCTAGGTCACACTGAGTTGAAACAATGAAAAGCAAGATAAAAACACTTAAAAACCATACTAAGGGCAGACGCTGTGGCTTAGCAGGTAAAGCCACTGCCAGCAGTGCCGGCATCCCATATGGACGCTGGTTCGAGTCCCGGCACTCCACTTCAGATCCAACTCTCTGCTATGGCCTGGGAAAGCGGTAGAACATGACCAAGTCCTTGGGCCCCTGCACCTACGTGGGAAACCCGGAAGAAGCTCTGGCCGTTGTGGCCAACTGGGAAGTGAATCAGCTGGTGGAAGACCTCTCTCTCTCTCTCTCTCTCTCTGCCTCTCCTTCTCTCTGTGTGTAACTCTTTCATATAAACAAATAAATCTAAAAAAAAAAACAACCCATACTGAAAAGCTAAATTGCACGCTTATTACTCTCCACCCTCTTCCTAAAATGGGATACTTGGTATTATATACTTTTTTCTCCCCAGCATTCAACTTCAGGCTGTGTGATTAAAAATAAATTATTATTGATTTGTTTCGTAGGAGTGTCGGAATGATGAAATGAGCTAATGTACGGAAAAACACCTTTACACCTCGGATCGTTTCAGAAGCACTGGCTAGGAGCGGTGGTCACAAGGATAGAATCTAGTACAATACATTCAGGGCGTTTCGCCAGTGCCAGTAAGTTTGATGCTCTAAGGCTTCCGTAGTGCGGTTCGTTTTCCGAGCCAAAGGGGTTCCGCCCTCCGAGCATCCCACGTGCCGTTTCCGGTTACACCCGGAAGTAGGAGTCCGAGCCACAGCTGGGTCCCGGCAGGGGGCAGGCGGCCGCGTGTTTCCTTAGAACTTCTCTGCGCGGATCCGATCTGCAGCCAGCATGTCCAGCAGAAACAACAACAAGCTGCCCAGCAACCTCCCGCAGTTACAGAATCTTATCAAGCGGGACCCGCCGGCCTACATCGAGGAGGTGGGAGTGCGGCGCGGCACACGCTGGAGGCTGGGTGGGATGATTGGGATGCCGCCGGGCAGGCGGGGCTGGAGCTGGGGTCCTGGCTCTCCGCCTGTCCTCCTGTTCGGTCCGGAGGAGAGACGAGATGGGGAAAGGGATTCGTTCCCCACCTCTTGGGAATGTGCTGCCGCTTCGGATTTCCGCCTGCTCCGTCGCTGCCGCAGAAACACTCTTTAAAAGCCTCCTTTGGCCTTGGTGGCCCGCCCCCGTGTCCAGCTTCCGTGCAGGTTGTCAGGCTCCCGTTCTCAGACACCTGCCGCTGGAATCAGTCGGTGAACGAGAGGAGCCGAGAGTGAGGATGCTTCCAGCGCCGTCCGTTTCCCAGAGGGCCCGCTCTGTGTCCTGGGGCGGGAGTGAAGGGTTTTCGGCCGAGGAGCTGAGTCTGGTGTACCCAGTTAACGCAGGGTTCATACTCGCTGGAAGCTAGGATGACCTGGATGTCGGATTTTTGCTTTGGGAGAAGATGAGGCTGAAACATGAGATTAGGCCCAGTTCGTGGTGGCGTTTGTATACTGTGCTCATTGTAAATTGTGAACACGAAGGGCGTCGGAGCCGGGAAGGCACAGAATGAAAGGGGTGGTGTGGATATGTTAACCCAAGAGGTGTTTCTTGCAGACCCCCGTTTGTCTTGGCAGGTATTAAACACGTGTCTCTACTGCGTTTGCCGCAGTTGCTTGTTTGAACTTCTTTCTCGCTAGATAGTGATTTGTTCAATGGCTAATTCAATTACTTATCTTTTGATGGCCTTTTTCAAGTCTCTCCTCCCCCAAATTTTCACACATGAGTACTTACATGAATGCTTTTTAACAAATAGGGATCTCAGTGGTTTAGGTCACCAACAAAGATCAAGGCAGTGGAAATAGAAAGTACAGAGCAGGCACAAGAAATTTAAGCAATATAAGTGAAACTCTGAGATGTGGTCAGTACTGTATGTCCATTGACAAAGTAATAGTTGAGAGTTCTGTATGTAAGAGCATTGGTGTCATAACTAACGTTGGATCCTAGTTCTGTTGTTGACCAGTTGTGTAGCCAGGATGGGTTGATCACAGCCTGTGTACGTATTTCCATCTGATAACACCTAACTCTTTGGTTCATTTAACAAATGTTATTACAAGTCCACACATCCAGCACCTACTGTGTATTGATAAAATTCTGGGCACCAGCTGCAGTGATAAATACACAGACAGGAGAGCCTTCTTCCCTTGAACTTAGGCTCTAATGAGGGTAGAGTTATAGTAGTAACGACTGTGAAGAAATGAAAACTAAGTAGAAATGCTTTGAATTGGAGGCTGCTGAGCCGTTCAGGTGCCTTCTGGACTGAGGGCATAGGAAACACAGACCCTGTCGTGTCAAAGAGCAGGGACGGCCAGCCTGGTTAAAGTGTGGTGGGACCCAATTTCAGAGGGTAAACTTTATGGTTTGTGAATTATATCTCAATTTAAAGATTTTTTTTTATTTGAAAGGCAGAGAGAGGGAGGTCTTCCATGCACTAGTTCACTCCCCTAATGGCTGCAACTGCCAAAGCTGGGATGATCAGAAGCTAGGGGCCAGGAGCTTCCTCTGGGTCTCCCATGTCAGTGCAAGGGCCCAAGTGCTTCCACTGCTTTCCCAGGCACATTAGCTGGGAGCTGGAAAAGCGGTAGGCTCGGTGGACTGTAGGAGAGGGTGCTTGTCTTTGCTTAGTATCTGCCTGTAGCAGGTGCACACCAAGGCCTTGAACAGTAGCCCAGGCTCCTGACTCAAATGCCCGCTCCTTTCCACCTCGCTGTGAGTGTTTTACACTCAACACCCTCCCCTCAGAACCCAACCAGGCCTCACTGTGTGGAAATGTCTGCAACTTGTTCTGGTCATTTACCTTCCAAAGGATTCAAAGGCACTTTGGATTTGATTTTTTCATTTTCGACATTTTTCTCTCCAAATCTGCTTTATTTCACTTTGTTTTAAAGACACAGAGAGAATGAGAGATCTTCCTTCTGCTGGTTCACTCCCCAAATGACTGCAACAACCAGGGCTGGGTCAGACTGAAGCCAGGGGCCAGAGCTTCATCCCAGTTTCTCACATGAGTTCAGGGACCCAAGGACTTGGACCATCCTCTACTGCTGTCTCAGGTGCATTAGCAGGGAGTTGGATCAGTAGCAGAGCAGCCAGGACTCGAACTGGTACCCATATGGGATGCCGGCATCACAGGAGGCTGTTTAACTTATCGCACCATAACACCAGGCCTCAGACTCAATTACATGAGCCAAATACTGCTGCTTCCTAGGGTGTGCGTTAGAAGGGAGCTATGGGGCCAGCGCTGTGGCGCAGCAGGTTAAAGCCCTGGCCTGAAGTGCCGGCATCTTATGTGGGCGCCGGTTCAAGTCACGGCTGCTCCACTTCCGATCCAGCTCTCTGCTATGGCCTGGGAAAGCAGTAGAAGATGGCCCAAGTCCTTGGGCCCCTGCACAGATGTGGGAGACCCAGAAGAAGCTCCTGGCTCCCGACTTCGGATTGGCTCAGCTCCAGCCATTGCAGCCATTTGGGGAGTGAACCAGCAGATGGAATGGAAGACCTCTCTCTCTGTCTCTACCTCTTTCTATAACTGTCTTTGAAATTAAAAAAAAAAAAAAGAAAAAGGGAGCTGGAACAGGACCAGAGCTGGGACTGGAACCCAGGAACACTGACATGTGCTGCTTGGAATGTGATATCCTAGGTGGCATCTTAACTGCTGTACCAATTGCTTGCCCCTTAACTGGTACTTTTTTTTTTTTTAAGATTTTATTTATTTATTTTAGAGATAGAGTTACAGAGAGAAGGGGAGACAGAAAGGTCTTTCTTCCACTGGTCTACTCCCCAAATGGTTGTATGAGCCATAGCTGGGCCATCCCGGAGCCAGGAGCTTCTTCCAGGTCTCCCACATGCATGCAGGGGCCCAAGCACTTGGGCCATCTTCTACTGCTTTCCTGGGCCATAGCAGAGAGCCGGATGGAAAGTTGAGCAGCTGGGACGTGAACCAGCGCCCATGTGGGATGTCAGTGCCTCAGGCAGAGGCTTAGCCTACTATGCTACATCGCCAGCCCTAATTGATAACTTTTTAAAGGAGAGATATTTTGACTGGAGAGCTTCATACACTTGACATTGGCTTTGCATTTTCTGCCCTGTATTTTTTTGCTGATTTGAGTGCTGTGTCGACAGAGACGGTATAGTAGGAGTCATTTAGACAGAGACAGTAAACGGCAGAACAGAGCCAGAATTTGTGACTCTCGCTTTACTGTTCCTTATAGCACACCATGTAAACTTCTGGTGATAATTGTAAGGAAAGGATGTTTAGATTATCCAGGATGTGCTTAGGTTTTTGAAAACTCATCACTTTCTCCAGTCTACTCTCAAAGACTTCTATTACAAAGTATTTCATTCTGTACCAAGGTAGTCACATAATAGAATGTAACGCATTAAAATTGTTTTTCTACAGTTTCTACAGCAGTATAATCACTACAGATCCAATGTGGAGATTTTCAAATTACAACCAAATAAACCCAGCAAAGAACTAGCAGAGCTGGTGATGTTTATGGCACAGGTAAGAAGATAATTTCTTTTGTTTGTTTGTTTTGAATTGATTTATTTATTTGAAAGGCAGAGTTACAGAGAGGGAGAGAGAGAGAAAGAGAGATCCTCCATCCTCTAGTTCACTCTCCAAATGGCTGTAATGGCCAGGACTGGGCCAGGCTGAAATCAGGAGCCTGGAACTCCATCCAGGTCTCCTACGTGAGTGCAGGGGACCAAGCATTTGGGTCATCTTTTGCTGCTTTCCCAGGTACATTAGCAGAGAGCTGGATTGGAAATAGAGTAACTGGGACTTGAACCAGCACCCACATGGGATGCTGGCATCATAGGTGGCAGCTTAACTCACTGTGCCACAATGCTGACCCCAAGAAGATAATTTATAAATAAAATAAAAACTGATGTTAACACACAATTTATAGAATATTTGTTTCAATAATAGTTAACCCTGTTCCACTCTGGAGTGAGAAATTTACTAAATTAAAAAAAAAAAAACTCTCTTTTTGCAAATTTTTTAGTATTCTTGTTGATCTTTTCCCAGAAACAACCTGAACAAAACCCTCTAAATATTTTTTCTTTATAATTTTGTCATAAAAACAAGTTCTAAAAAAAGACTAGAAAAGATATGGAAAGGATTGGAGAAATTAGCATGCAGCAAAAATTTTAAAAAGGTGGTTTAGAACCATCTGCCTTTCACTCTCATTTTGCAGAACATCGTATACCTGTGTGAAATATAAGGGGGAGAGAGAGAGAGAGAGAAACTTGGGGAGCCTTTGCTTTGTTACAGATTGGCCACTGCTACCCGGAGCATCTCTGCAACTTTCCTCAAGAGCTGAAAGATCTTCTCTCCTACAATCATACTGTCTTGGACCCAGATCTCCGAATGGTAAGAGCAGGTGTTGGAATCAGGAAATTGTGCTGTGTTCGTGCTGTGTGTATTTAGATGAGAGCAGCCTCTAAGCTCAATGTTTTTTTCAGTGTAAACCAGAATGGCCCCATCTTCTTTGATATCCTTTGTGGCTTCTCCTTGGTACTTGCAATAACATCCCGGCTTAGCAGTCCCTGCCTGATCTGCTCCCTCCCTCCCTGGGCTTGCGCTCTCCCTCCTGTGCAAACTCCCTGTTCTTCCAGCATGGTGCCCGCTCTGGGATGCTCTTCTCTACCTTTTGATAAGGGCTCCACTCATTCAAATGTGCCTGAGGAGCCCTAATTACAACTTTTTTACAGTGCTTAATTTAATAAACTTACCCATTAAGCAGCCAGCTTGAGCGTCCAAACATTATCACCTGCGTGGTTGACATTGGCTCCTGGGAGATGCCCATCTCCAGACAGGTGTGGCCATTTCTCCCACCTGCGTAGATGCTAGCTGCTCTTACTCTGAAGCTTATCCTTGGCTAAATGGGAGTCCAGAGTGTAGGAGGTTGCCCTCTGGGCCGAATATTACAAAATAAAAAAGCCCAGCCTCTTAAGGTGAGGTTAAGTCTCACTTTTGGTATTGTGATCATGCTAAAGCTAGTCTCCAGCCAAGGACACCTTCTTACTTAGCATTTCTTTACTGGGCCCTACCATGCTTCTTTTCTTTTTTAAAGATTTATTTTATTTATTTGAAAGAGTTACAGATAGAGAGAGAGAGAGAGAGAGAGAGAGAGAGAGAGGTCTTCTATCCACTGCTTCATTCCCTAAATGGCAGCAACAATTGGAGCTGAGCTGATCTGAAGCCAGGAGCCGGGAGCTTCTCCCAGATCTCCCATGTGGGTGCAGGGGCCCAAGAACTTGGGCCATCCTCTGCTGCTTTCCCAGGTGCGTTAGCAAGGAGCTGGATCAGAAGTGGAGCAGCTGGGACTCGAACCGGTGCCATATTGTTAGGTAGGAAGTTAGAAGTTAGCTTGTGTGTAGGAGAGGGCCCGAGGAAAACAAAACCTCTGCAGAAGCTCACCTTAGAAGCAGCCCAGGGTGTTACACTTCAAAGTCCTGCCCAGACTGATAACTTTCCAGGTGGTCTCAGCCTTCTCCCAGGGAAAACTCCCCAGAGGAATCCTCTCTCAACACCAGATGGGTTACCTGGCCTGATAACATTGAGCATAAAACCTTTACATCCTTCCTCCAAGGCAGGCACCCTAGGGGAGGCTCCTCTTCTCGGTGCCAAGTGGGCTCCCCCAGTCTGATAGCACTGAGTAGGGAACCTTTGGGAGGAATTTCACCTAATTCACACTCAGCAAACCCCTTGTCCTGGAGGAGGAGGAGGAGGAAGGGAAAGAGAAACAGTCGGAAGAACTGGACCCCTTTCCCTTACAAACCCCAGTCTGAATACAGACTGCATGCTCAGCTCTCAGCCCTCTCGTGAGCTGCCCGCCTGGCCTGCCAGATGTAATCTCTCTGTTTAACCATGTAGCCTTACTTTCCCCAGTCTGAGTGACTGGGCACTCTTGGATTCTGTCCCATCTGTTCTGACCTATGTCCTATCCCAGTAAACCTTGCTACCCTGCCTACCACTATTCTCTGTCTCACCTCTGAATTCTTTCTTACCCAAAGATAAGAACCCACCCCCCTATCTTTGCTAACAATATGGGATGCCGGCACTGTAGGCCAGAGCTTTAGCCCGCCGGGCCACAGTGCCAGCCCTCTATCATGCTTCTTTACTTCCTTCTGTGAGCACACCCCAGACATATGACTTGTAATGAATCAGGCTCTCCTTCCAGAGAACACAGCCGAAGGCACTTTCGTATGTAATAATCTGCTTTCCAAACATATTTACAGTAAGTACTATATGATCACAAACATTCATATCCTATACCAAAACTTGTAAAAATCTTAAGTCCAAAGATTATTATGTTTTTTTCCTGGACTTTATGTAATTTTACTATTTTTAGCTGCTCTAGGATTTTTTTGATCAGGCCTAAAAGAAAACTATCATTCTGGGCAAGCCAAGGTTATAGGCTCTAGCTTTTCAACTGGTTGACTTAGCTGGGCCATAGAACCTGGCAGCACAGCCCAAGGGGCTTCAGATGGGAACCATTAGTTGGAAAGCTTTTACCTATGTTAGGTAATTCTTCAAGTCCTCATAGCTCGTGCAGATTTGAAATCTTATGTGTAGAGACTTACCTGGCTTTCCAGGTAATTGAATCTTCTTTAAGTTTTACATTGGCTGCCAGTACCCAGCCAAACTGGTCTGTGAGCGTTAAATAAGTAAATGTTTGCATGTTTTTTTTTGTAGTTCTATATGATGATTTTTCTTAAAGAGAAAAAAATAGGGGAAAGCATTGTGATGTAGTGGGTTAAGCTGCCCTTGGGACACCCACATCCCATGTTGGAGTGCCTGGATCAAGTCCCAGCTACTCTGCCCCCCATCCAGCTTCCTGACAATGCACACTTTGGGAGACAGCAAGTGATGGCTTAAGTACTTGAGCCCCTGCCACTCACGTTGGAGACTTGGATGGAATTTGAGTGTCTTTGCTTTGGCTGGGCCCAGTCCTGACTGTTGCATTTAGGGAATAAACCAGTGGATACAAGACTTCTCTATCTTCATCTCCAGCTCTCCCTCCCACTCCACCTTTCAAGGAAAGTAGTAGAGATTTCCTTTGCTAGGAGACGAGATTGAGTAATGTAGAACACACTGGCGGACCCTCTTTTTAATTATCACCTGCTGGGTTTGCTTTCTTCCTAGTGTATTTGCTGTTTTTCCACATCTACTTTTCCTGCTTGCATGGATAGAAATAGATTGTGTTGCTTGGCAGAAGAAGCTGTATATATATATTCAGAATATATACAGAAAATAGCTGTGTATATTCTCTTGTGTGTGCTATATAAAATCCAGAAAAATTGAACTTAAATGTTTTCCCTTTCTTTTTTGAACTTGTACCTGCCTTTTAAAGTACTTTTTATTAACTTCTTTTTGAGCATTATTGTTATTCCCTGCTCCGATTGTCACCACGTGGCGAGGAGGAGCTTCTTAGTCCTTTCAGCAGTGGTGCAGTGTAAGTTCCAGGCGGGCTGAGAGACCGTCTGCTCTCACGCCAGGAGTAGTGTCCCGACACGGAAGATCATTAAGCTCTTTGGGATATGTGGGCTTGGTTTTCTCATCTTACTCACCTTACCATTAACTTACAGTATGTTTTTGTTCTCCTTCCTAAGACATTTTGCAAAGCTTTGATCCTGCTGAGAAATAAGAATCTCATTGATCCATCAGGCTTACTAGAGCTCTTCTTTGAACTTCTGCGTTGCCACGACAAGCTGCTACGAAAGGTAAAGGGAACAAAAAGAATTTCTCCTGCAACTCATTCTTCCATGAGGGGACATACAACTTGTAGTGTTTATGGAGCCATTTGAATCCTTAACGCTTTACATTATTGGACCAGTTAGTAATGCTTTTAAGTGTGGGTTTTGTGGATCCAATAGGTTAAGCCACCACTGGGGGATGTTCGCATCTCATCAGAGTGCCATAACAGAGAGCAAGGGTCCTGGCTCCTCTGCTTCTGATCCAGCTTTGCTAATGCATCCTGGGAGGGAGTTCTCGGCTCTTGGCTTCAGCTTGACCTGGCCCTGGCTGTTGTGGGCATTTGGGGAGAGAACCAGTGGATGGAAGATTTCCCTCTCCCTCTTTAGCAAGGTTAGAAATGTTGACTAGACTTAATGTGTGTTATATTTTTCTTTTTCTCAGACTTTATATACACATATTGTGACTGACATCAAGAATATAAATGCAAAACACAAGAACAATAAAGTGAATATAGTAAGTAGTAAGTACCCTTTTGTTTTCCATGTCTGAGGCATTGTATCATCAGTATATGAAATCCTTCCTTTTCCTCTTTTTCTTCAGGTCTTGCAGAATTTCATGTACACCATGTTAAGAGACAGCAATGCGACAGCAGCCAAGATATCTTTGGATGTGATGATCGAGCTCTATAGAAGGAACATCTGGTGTGTCTATAGATCTATATGTATTTGTTTCTTGAGAAGTAGACTTTTAAGTTTGTAATTAGTACAGAGCACATACACAAATGTAAGGGTAAAGTAATGTTTTTGTATACTATAGCTTGTTGGTACAGTGCCTCCAACTCTGTCTTCTCTTACTCACTTTTTTTTAACTATAAAATATTCATTGTAGCAGAAAATTTGGTGAAACTAGAAAAGTTTTTTTAAGTTTTAGGTAGTTTCACTGTGCAGAGATAATCACAGTTAATATTGTTTGGTGTTTCCTCTGGCCTTTTCTTTAATATACATTTTCTTTAAAAAAAAAAAAAAGATTTATTTATGTATTTGAAAGGCAGAGTTACACAGAGAGAAGGGGGAGGGGGGGCTCTTCCATCACTGGTTCACTCCCCAGTTGGCCGCAATGGCCAGAGCTGTGCCGATCTGAACCCAGGAGCCTGCAGCTGCTTCTGGGTTTCCCACAAGGGTACAGGGGCGCAAGGCCGTCTTCCACTGCTTTCCCAGGCCATAGCAAGGAGCTTGATCAGAAGTGGAGCAGCCAGAACTTGAGCATCCCAGCCCATACGGGATGCCAGCACTGCAGGTGGCAGCTTTACCCACTGTGCCACAGCGCTGGCCCCCTAATGTGCATTTTCAAATGTGATTGGAATTTTTGCTGTATTCTAGCTTTTTTGCTTTGGATTTTTTCCCTCTACTTACTTTGAGTAGATTCCCATGTTGTTAAAAATTCTTCAAGGACTGTATCTTAATGACTGGACTCAAATTTAATTAAATGTTCCTCTTCCATTTAACTGTTTCAGCAATCCATAGGTTTTTGTTTTTCAATTTATTTATTTGAAAGGCAGACTTACAAAGCGAGAGCGGTCTTCCATCTGCTGGTTCACTCAAACGCCCGTGATTCCGTCCTGGTCTCCCAGATGAGTAGCAGAGGCCAAAGCACTTGAGCGGTCGCCTGCTGCCTTCCCACATGCGTCAGCAGGAAGCTGGGGTGTAAGCGCAGAGCGAGCAGGGCATGAGCCAGGGGCCCCATTATGGAAGTGGCCTAACCCGCGGAGCCACAGTCTCACCCTCCCATGACTTTGTCAAATATGAGAATGCTGAGTTCTGATGTGGCAGGAGTACTTACTATATGTTTCGTGCAATTGTCTGTGCTTTGATATAATAGTAGAATGAAAATGTACTTCAACACACTCATTCTCTTCCCCCAGGAATGATGCCAAAACCGTCAATGTTATCACGACTGCGTGTTTCTCTAAGGTCACCAAGGTGAGGCTCTGTGGGGCTGTGTGAAAGCACAGCCATGCGGGTGGTCTGGGGTGGTCTGCTTCCTCCGAGGGAGGAGGGCTGGGCTCTGAGTGTGGCTCGTGGCTGCTGACGCTCTCTCGGTACTTAGACTGCTTCCCCAAGTCATCTGTGCTTTAGGGGACACAAACAAAATTAGGAGTTTGGGGGCCGGCATTGTGGCGTAGCGGGTTAAGCTGCTGTCTGCAGTGCCAGCATCTCACCTGGGCACCGATTCTAGTCCCAGGTGCTCCAGTTCTGATCCAGCTCCCTACTAATGCGCCTGGGAAAGCAGTGGAAGGTGGCCCAAGTGCTTGGGCCCCTGCACTCGCATGGAAGCTTCTTCCACCTGGAAGGAGCTCCTGGCTCCTGGCTGCGGCCTGGCCCAGACCTGGCCATTGCAACCATTTCGGAAGCAAACCAGCAGTTGGAAGAACTCTGTCTCTCTTTCTCTCTTTGTATCTCTGCTTTTCAAATAAATAAATCTCTGGGGCTGTCAGTGCGTCATAGCAGGTTAAGCCACCACCTGTGATGCTGACAACCAGTATGGCCAGTTTGAGTCCTGGCTGCTCCACTTCCAATCCAGCTCCCTGCTAATGGCCTGGGAACATCAACAACAGATGGCCCAAGTGTTTGAGACCCTGCTGCCCATGTGGGAGACCTGGAGGAAGCTCCTGGCTCCTGGCCCAGCCCCAGCCATTGTGACCATCTGGGGAGTGACAGCAGATGGAAGATTGATTGCTGTTTCTCTCTCCCTCTCTCTCTCTGTAACTCTGGCTTTCAAGTAAATAAATGAATCTTCTAAAAAGAATCTCTTTGAAAAATCTAAAAATTTATAAAAAGAATTAGGAGTTTTTAAAGTACCTGTGCAAACGACAGCTGCAGATTTTGTTTTCTCCTCTGATTCTTTTTATCTGTTGGGCTCATTTTCAGCTGAAAGAACTACAAGGACTGTGTTTGATTTTCTTTTAAAGGACTATAATGTCATTTTTATTGTGGGGGATGTAGAAATGCTTGCCAGTCTGCTTGAAAGAGGACTCTGTAGAACCTGGCAGTCTTTGTTTAATTAAGAATTCTTGGTCGGCGCCGCAGCTCACTAGGCTAATCCTCCACCTGCGGCACCAGCACACCGGGTTATAGTCCTGGTCGGAGCGCCGGATTCTGTCCCGGTTGCCCCTCTTCCAGGCCAGCTCTCTGCTGTGGCCCGGGAAGGCAGTGGAGGATGGCCCAAGTGCTTGGGCCCTGCACCTGCATGGGAGACCAGGAGAAGCACCTGGCTCCTGGCTTCAGATTGGCGCAGTGCGCCGGCCGCAGCGGCCATTGGGAGGTGAGCCAATGGAAAAAAAGAAGACCTTTCTGTATCTCTACCTGTCAAACTCTACCTGTCAAAAAAAAAGAAAAAAGAATTATTTTAAAAATAACATATATATGAGACAAGTAACATGAAAACATTTTTTAATTAAGGATGAGCAAAAATCCTCCTGTCTTGATTTCTTTTTCTTCAAATCCTATTTCATACTACACATGCATGACATGTAGACAGAGCATTTATGCTGTTGTAAGGTGGAGTAAGTAACAGGTTTTCTCATTGGTCTTCAGATACTGGTTGCTGCTTTGACATTCTTCCTCGGAAAAGATGAAGATGAGAAGCAGGACAGCGACTCAGAATCTGAGGTTAGTTTAATTATAGCTGCTTTTGAATTTAGCGCTTCATTAGATTTCGTCATTGTTCTGAGTACAAATTGCAAAACCAATGACTTCTTGAGTTAGAAAGATGCTTATATGATGCCTTTGTTGTTTATTGAGTTCTGCCAAGCTGAGATTTTATTCTTATTTCTAACCTATATTCAGTGAGACTTGTTAAAAATTATCAAAACAGATTCACTCAACCTTGTTCTTAATTTTCAAGGCTGTTCCTATATCTATGTCACCACATAAATTAAGAATAACAATTGCGCCAGCGCCATGGCTCACTAGGGTAATCCTCCACCTTGCGGCGCCGCACACCGGGTTCTAGTCCCGGTCGGGGCGCCGGATCCTGTCCCGGTTGCCCCTCTTCCAGGCCAGCCCTCTGCTGTGGCCCGGGAGTGCAGTGGAGGATGGCCCAAGTGCTTGGGCCCTGCACCCCATGGGAGACCAGGATAAGTACCTGGCTCCTGCCATCGGATCAGCGCGGTGCGCCGGCCATGGCAGCCACTGGAGGGTGAACCAACGGCAAAGGAAGACCTTTCTCTCTGTCTCTCTCTCACTGTCCACTCTGCCTGTCAAAAAAAAAAAAAAAAAAAAAGAATAACAATTGCTGCCCACATATTTTTGAGGTAATGTCAATATTATAGAAGGTTTAGAGTGGGGGAAGGGTTAAAGAAGTATCACAAAGAATCTCTTGTCATTTTAGTCATTTGGTAACTAAATCTGGGATGTGTAATAACATCCTTTAAATAGCATGGTGAATAGATTTTTGTTGTAAAAACTTTTAGATGTTATAGATAAAATTTTCTTGACTATAATTTCTACCTCTCAGTTCCTTCTTCACAAGTGATCATTTTGTTTCCTCTGCATTTATATATAGATACACATACATACAGTTTTAATGTGTGTAGGAAGTTTTCCAAAACTATGTAAATAACGTGATTTTTCTGTAACTTATACTTGTTGCTGATTTCTTTTTTCAGATAAAAACCCAGTTGTGTTCTGTCTGTGTATCAAACTTCAATCAAAAGCAAGGGACAAGCATTTGGTGCAGCAGTTCCAATGCTGCTTGGGACACCTGTGTGTCATAATGGAGTGCTGGGTTTGAGTCCACTCTGCTCCTAATCCAGCTTCCTGCTAATGTCAACCTTGGGAGGCAGCAGGTGATGGCTCAAGTAGTTGGATCCCTGCCACCCATGTGGGAGACCTAGATTGACTTCTTGGCTCGTGGCTCCTATGTGGGCACTTAGAGAGTGAACCAGCAAAATGGAAATTCTCTGTCTCTCTCTGTTTGGCTCAATAAATAAAAACTTTTTAGAGAGCAAACTGTAAGAATAAAGATGAGTGTTGCAGTGAAAATCTCTTGTATGCCTGTTTGTGTGTACGCGTGTATGCATAGTTTTTCTTATTTTTTAATAGCTATGGACAGAGTACAAGAGAACTTCAAAAAAGTTTGTGGAAAAATGAAATTAAAAGGTGTTTATTTGGGTGCAAAAATTTTTGAGATCCATGCATAGTTTTTGTTTGTTTTAAAGATTTATTTATTTATTTGAAAAAGAGAGAGAGAGATCTTCCATCCACTGGTTCACTCCCTACATAGCCACAACAGCCAGAGCTGGGCCCATCCGAAGCCAGGAGCTTCTTCCAGCTCTTTCACTGTTTTCCTAGGTGCATTAAGCAGGGAGCTGGATCGGAAGTGGAGCAGCTGGGTCTCAAACTGGCACCCATATGGGAAGCTGGCACTGCGAGTGGTGACTTTACCCACTACGCCACAGCACCACCCCCTCCCCTTTTTGTTTGTTTAAACTCATTCCCACTAACTTTTCATTTGGAAGACTCCTGGTAGAAGAACCAAGTAGTGGATGAAAGCATCAGTCTGCTTCTGTGCAGGTTTGCTTCTTGACAGTTTGTATTACAAAGTAGCGTCTTCTTTAGGATGAAGGGCCAACAGCCAGAGACCTGCTAGTGCAGTACGCCACCGGGAAGAAGAGCTCCAAGAACAAGAAAAGGTTGGAAAAGGCGATGAAAGTGCTCAGGGTGAGACTTGTGCCTGGGAAGTGGGTAGGAATCCGTGCAGAATGTGTACTTTTCACTCAGAGCTTTTGAGAACTTGAAATTAAAAAACAGCAAGCATTTGGAAAGACTTAGAAATGGTTGATCAATTTTTAAGTATGATTTTTTTTTTTTTTAGTTTAATAGACATATTCAACTCTAGCAAAATCTGTGACTTGAATATAATTAATTCACTTTTTCATTATGATCAAGATGGCTTGTATTAGGGTGTCTTTGACAAGTCTTCTCGGAGGAATACCAAGTAAAATACATTTGGTATCTTGTAATGATTAGTCTGAAAATCATTACTTTGTCACCAGTGTGTTTTTTGAGGTTTGTATTTCCAGATTTCCTTTAAATTTCATGGAATTAAGCCATTCCCAAGGTTTAGGACAAAACCACCTTTAATTCTTTGAGTTGAAAGAAGGTTTTAGAACAGAAGATTTTTTTCTGTTTAAATGATTTAATGGACTTGGTAACGGCCTTGAGTACATTAACACATTGAATTCCACGAGCATTATGACCGTAATTCAGAGTGGAATGTTTTTCCTCTCCCTTTATTTTAGAAACAAAAGAAGAAGAAAAAACCAGAGGTGTTTAACTTCTCAGCTATTCACTTGATTCATGATCCCCAAGGTACTGTCATTACAGTTTCCCAAGTTTCTTGCTGGCCCTGTGTCTCCCTGTTCTGTTTGCGGGTTAACAGGGAATAGAAGGTCCCTGGCACTTAGTCAACAAACAGTAGGTACTAACTTGTTACTACTTGGCTGTAAACTGGAGAGTTAGGTTCTGAAGCAGCGATTCTCAGTCCACAGCAAAATAAGAAGAATATAAGACAAGTCTCTTTGAGGTTCACATCTTTAACAACACAATAATGGTAGGACATTGTAATTGACAAAATGAAGAACTAGTAGTATTCTTGTTGGTCTTAAAAAAAAAAAAAAAAAAACTAAACTAAAAACAAGAATAACTGATCTGTGGAAACCAAAGCTCTGGAAACTGTTCTAGAACACTAGTTCTCAGACCAGACTGCACGTTGGGATTGCCTGGGGAATTTTGGGAATTTCAAACTGTACTGATGCCTGAGTCCTGTTCTCCCAGAGATTCTGGTTTAGTTTGTTTGGGGTGTACTGGGTGTTGGGACTTGTCAACACTCTCTCTCTAAGGTATGGCAACATTTGCTAACCCCTGATCACCTAGGGAACTTGTTCAAGTATAGCGTCCAATTCAGTGGGTGTGGGGCTTAGTGGCTTAAGAGCCTGTGTTTCTGACCAGATGCTGGCGGTCTGCAGAGGCTGATGCTAAGCATAATGTGAATACTTCACACTTGTGTCTTCATTGAGAACAATTGCTGCCTCCCCTGGGGCCTGTTAGGTGACTGTTGCATGGATCCACATGAACGTCTTTGATCTTCTCCCTTCAGACTTTGCGGAAAAACTACTAAAGCAGCTGGAGAGCTCCAAGGAGAGGTTTGAAGTGAAGATGATGCTCATGAACCTCATCTCCAGACTGGTGGGAATTCACGAGGTTCGGAATCATTGTGTTTCTCGTGCGGACTGTTAGAAGTAAGGGGAAAGCCACTGGGGTGGAGTGGGGCTTGATTTTGTCCCCCAAACCATTTAAACCCATAGAATTTACAAAAGAATACAATCTTCCTGTTTAAAAATAGCTGTTTTCATCACTGTTGTGCCTCCATAAAGTGTAGATGCCAGCTTGTGCATGTATTCAGCTTGCATCCAGGTGGACTATTTGGGGTTCTATTTGTGCACTTTGTTTTTGTTCACTTTGTTTTACCTTTACTGTCCCTGGAGCCATCATGACACACATACTTTTGCTGACTCTTTGCTGCGTTTCACAGTTTGTTAAAGCCCTCATGGCTTTCCTGATTGCTTGGTTCTCTGGTAGGAAACTGTCTTGTTTGCAAAGCTGAATTCTCTGCTTCAAGAGCTCCTTGTGATAGTTAAGCGTGTATGGTGTCAACTCACTGGCACTTCACATGTCTTGGACCAGTTGCCTTTGTAGATAAAGATGCCCTATAATTGGGCCATGAGGAATTGACCCTTGAGGTTGTTCCTTATCATTTTCTTGTCACTGAACCGACACTGAATGTTTTGCTGTCTTTAAAGAATGTTTTGAGGATCAGGAGCTTTCTTTCTTTCTTTTTTACTTATTCACTTATTTATTTTGGAATGGAAAGATACAGGAATTTTCTAAAAAATTGGAAAAAAAGAGATAGGGTTGGGTATTTGGTACAGCAGTTAAGACACTGCTTGGAATGCCCATGTCCCATCTTGGAGTTCATAGGTTCAAGTCCTAAAAAAATTCTGAAGGAAAAAAATGGGGGGGCGGGGGGGCTTACTTACTGACAGTTGAATAGTAGAGACATATCAGGCTAAAAAAATGAAAGCATGTGTGAGTCCTGTCTGCTTTTCCTCCGTGGGCTGTGGTCCCAAAGTAGGGTCTCCAGTTCCATGTTCCATCCTTGATACATTTCTGCAGTAATTTCATATCACAGCCGACTTGGAGCCTGATAGGAAAGTGATTTGCAGTCTCAGCATGCTCTGATGGACATGAATCTGCAGTTTCCCAACTACTTATAATTAAATACCTGCCTTTATGTTGAACCAATGTCTTCACTTATTGAAGTTAAGTTACTATGTCCTTGATAACGGTACTGCTGTCACTGCGACCGAGGTAGACTCTGGAGGGTTAGTGTTTTCCCTCTGAACCACGGAGCACAGTTGTTCCTCCCATGTGGTTGGACTGGCATATGATAAAATCAGGGCAGTGAGGTGTTTGATGATGACATTGTACTAGCTGCAGATTTAGATTTCAGGTTATTTGGAATCTTAATACAAGTTGGTCATCCCTAATTTGAAACTCCAAAATAAAAAGATGCTCTGAAATCCTAAACCCTTTGAGTGCCAGCAAACTTTCTGGAGCATTTTGGATTTTGGATTTTCAGATTAGGGGTACTCAGCTGGCAGTGTCTGTACAGATATTCCAAAATCTGGACAACAGAAGTGTGAAACACTTCTGGTAGGGGACATCTCAGAGAAGGGACAGATAGTCAGTGTACATCAATGATTCCTCCCCAAAAACTCTCTGAAGATTTAAAAGTCAATTCTGCAGTCACACCAATTTTCAAAGTAGAAAAATCCTATTTTGTTTGCTGCTCTTTCCCCTTGGTTTATTATGTAAACTCTTGTTCTTCTTCCTTCACATGATGAGGAGAGCCTCCTGGCTTCAGTTGAGAGAGTTCCTGTCATTGGGCATTACATTTCAAAGCAACCTGTGGCATATTGCTTACTGAGAAAAAGTACAAGTTCAAAAGGATTCCCAAAGAGAGGTGCTTGGTGACATAATTGCATTATGGGGAAATGCAGTTGCGTGGATACTGAGGTTGGTTTGTTCTCTCCACAGCTTTTCCTCTTCAACTTCTATCCCTTTGTGCAAAGGTTCCTACAGCCCCACCAGAGAGGTAAGCCGCCCACTTGCCACGCTTCTTTGGTGGCCTTGGCATTAGAATAGCCACTAAAATCTGTTCTGGAATCAGTGGAGACAGGGGTAGGAATGAAGTGAGTTCTGTCTCAGAGCAGGGGAGAGAAGTCCTTGTGTGTTCTTTCTGGAGTCTGCTGTGGGTTACTGCTTGTGCTCATCAACTGTGAAAACAATCGTTTTGGGGAAAAAAAATAGCAGATTGACTTCTCAAAGCAAGTCCTTTTGTAATATCATAGAGTCTCTTGTGGAAAATTCTAGAAAAGAAGATTGGCTTTTTACTTTAACTTTGTAGTAGAGAATAGGATTTTATCTTCCTGCTCTCATTGCCCTGATGTGCATTGCCAGTGAAAACGTAAGTTTGATTTTGAAAACAAGGTAGAAAGGACACTAACATTTGTTGAGCTTCTGACATGAGCCAAGCCAGGCCCTCTGTTAGGTGCTTTGTATACATCACTAACCAATCCTCACATCAGTCCTACAAAGTCTAGAAAGAAGAAGAGAAGCCCAGGATCACTCAGCAATTTAAATAGCAAGTCAGGCTTCATCCTTGTTCTTTCCACACGCTGTGCTGCCCCTTTGAAAGAAGATGAATGCGTAGCCGTGTTTGCATTTATGCATCTGTTTAGGAAGTACGTATTTAGTGATTTCTGTGGAGGCGCTGTGTTAGACACTAAGAATGGAAAGTCCTGCTCTGAGTATAGTATGTGCAAGTGAAGAGAAGTGTTCTGAGAGAAAGGAGGCAGGGTAAGGACACAGGAGGAGTGCCGGTGGGGGTGGGCTCTTTCAGATGGCGTGGTCAGGAAAGACCCTTTGATGAGGCAGCAGCTGGCGGGGACCTGAAGGAGGTGAGAGGGTGAGCCACACGGCTGTCTGGGGTTGGCTGTTGCAGGCGGAGCAGGAGCAGCACTAAGGCCGGCACGTGCTTGCCTCGATGCCGTGGCCCCACAGGGCAGAGCAGTGAACTGACTGTGACCTCTCTGATCTCTTTGTTTTCAGAAGTAACGAAGATCCTTCTGTTTGCTGCACAGGCTTCTCATCACCTGGTGCCCCCAGAGGTGAGAACCTTTCACCTTCCTCCCGGCCCCAGTGCCTGCGTAGCAGTGCTGTTGCTGCGTGCGCTGCGCTCACTTCCCCACAGAGGCTAGCTCTTATAAAGAGACTTTAAAGTTCATGGAAGAAAATGGAGCTAAAAGATAAGGTTATCTTGCTGCAAAAAAAGTGTTAGATCCACACATATGATGGATCTTCAAAAAGTTCATAGGAAATGAATATTATGAAAAAACTCCATGGCGTTGGTTGAAAATCACCCTGGCTTTGGCCATGGCTGTGGGTGAGATTCCGCGCCTAGAGCCTCCAGGAGCCTCAGCTCACCTCCCATTGCTCTGGTGTGGAGAGGTGAAACCCAGGCCCCGACAAGTGCAAAAACAAAGAAAAGACTCTACATGGATTTCAAAGTGATTCTGCACCAAAATAAACTATCTTTTAATTTAATTTCTTCACAAATTTTTTTAAATACTATGACACATAGAAGTTCAGTTATGCAAAAATGGATTTTTTTTCAGACCAGTCGTTGAGAATTCTGATTTTGTTTAATAACTAAATTTTGGGGACAGCATTGTGGCTCAGTAAGTTAAGCCTCTACCTGCGATGCTGGCATCCCATATTGGAACATTGATTGAAGTTCTGGCTGCTGCATTTCTGATCCAGCTCCCGGCTAATGTGCCTGGGAAGGCATTGGCAGATGGTTCTAGTGCTTGGGCCCCTGAACCCATGTGGAAGACCAGGATGCAGTTACAGGCTTCTGGCTTTGGCCTGGTCCAACCCAAACTACCTATCCGGGGTGTGAGCCAGCAGGTAAAAGATCTGTCCCTCATTTTCTTTCTTCTTTTTTTTTTTTTTTTAAGATTTATTTATTTATTTGAAAATCAGAGTTACACAGAGAGAGAAGGAGAGGCAGAGAGGGAGAGAGAGAGACAGGTCTTCCGTCCGCTGGTTCACTCCCCAATTGGCCGCAACGGCCAGAGCTGCACCGATCCAAAACCAGGAGCCAGGAGCTTCTTCCAGATCACCCACATGGGTGTGGTTGCCCAAGAACTTGGACCATCTTCTACTGCTTTCCCAGGCCATAACAGAGAAGCTGGATCGGAAGTGGAGCAACCAGGATTCAAACTGGTGCCCATGTGGGATGCTGGCACTACAAGTGATAGCTTTATCTGCTACGCCACAGCACCAGCCCCACTCATTTTCAAATATATAAAATAAACCTTTAAACCACACATGCGCACACACATTTTATGTTTAGGGGAGATTATAGTGATTATTTCTCAAAAGCTAATAATTACTTTCTTTGATTAAACAGCACTGGATTATCCTGTGCCAAAGCAGGGTTTTGTTTTGTTTTGTTTTTTCACATTTATATTAAAAAATGTTAAGCAAAAGTAAACTTTAGGCTAACAGAGCCCAGAAACAGAACTCCAGAATGAAGCAGTGTTACCCCTGTCTTGCTTAGGCTTCTTTCTGTCCAGCTTGCACAATGAGGGTGAAGGTGTTTCCCTGGGGAGTAACCTGCCCTTGTGTGCTCCGGTGTCTGCATGGGCATAGACCTTTCACCTGCACTCCTTTTTCCTTTTGTGCCCAATTCAGATCATTCAGTCGTTGCTCATGACGGTGGCCAACAACTTTGTTACCGACAAGAACTCCGGGGAAGTCATGACTGTAGGGTATGTACTAATGCTTGGGGGCAGCAGGTAGGCTTCTGATGAGCTGCGTGTACTTCAAATGAAGATTTCATCTGGTTGTGTGACCTCCAACAAAGCAGTTGAAAATATAATTTGGTCTTCTCAGAGGCCTGCTATTTTTATGTTAATGGTTAGAATTTTGAGTTGGAGCCAGAGAAAATAGTTGTCCTTCAGGTTTTGTTTTGTTTTGTTTTTTTTACAGGCAAAGTTAGACAGTGAGAGAGAGAAAGGTCTTCCTTCCATTGGTTCACCCCCCAAATGGCCACTATGGCCGGTGTTGCGCTGATCCGAAGCCAGGAGCCAGGTGCTTCCTCCCGGTCTCCCATGCAGGCGCAGGGCCCAAGCACTTGGGCCATCCTCCACTGCCTTCCCGGGCCACAGCAGAGAGCTGGCCTGGAAGAGGGGCAACCGGGACAGGATCCGGTGCCCCAACCGGGACTAGAACCCGGTGTGCCGGCGCCGCTAGGTGGAGGATTAGCCTAGTGAGCCGCCGTGCCAGCCCTAAGTGTTTTTCTCTTATCTTCCTATCCTGAATTCATGTCTTAACCATGGAACAGATGATGTATTATTGAATCAGAGTTTAATTCTTGATTACTTTGAAAACTGTATCAGCACTGGTTTGAGGATGATCTAATCTGTCCTGATAAGTAAAGCATGTGCAAACAGTTGCTTTTTACCTCCCTTGGGATATATTGGCGAGCTAACGGCCCTAAAGACCTTAACCTCTTATCTGACCCAGTCGCTTCTCTCCAAACAGTTAGGGAATAAATGCTGCCATGATTTGGTGTGCCAGACACAGTTTCTTACTCCACCAGTAGCAGAAATGGCAGTAACTCTGGAACAAAAGTCCCCTAAGCCAGCCCTCCACCCCCACTCTGCCATGCTGCAGTTTTAGAGACCTGTGCCATCCAAAACCCAATCTGTATTCTTTTGGATTTCATTTCCTTAGAAAATATTGATTGATTGAACCATATGAAATTTCTGCTCTGGCTTTTTTAAAGTTTATTTCCTTTTCTAGCATCAATGCTATCAAAGAGATAACAGCTCGGTGTCCTCTAGCCATGACTGAAGAACTTCTCCAAGACTTGGCTCAGTATAAAACGCACAAAGATAAGAGTAAGTCGCGCCGTGTTGTCTGCAGACCAAAGGTGGCTGTGTGACTTATTTTCACCTCACCATACTCTGCTCCAGAATGGCGTGGGGGTGGAGGGTGAGGTGGGCTCTAACGTTGTCTTGCAGATGTGATGATGGCTGCTAGAACTTTGATTCAGCTCTTCCGCACCCTGAACCCGCAGATGTTGCAGAAGAAGTTCCGGGTGGGTGAGACACGCATACTTGGTCTGAGGGCTGAGGTCTCAGTGAGAGTTACTTCCTACAATCTGATTTCTAGTATTTGTGGTGCTTCCATTATGAGTACTCGTGATACCCAGGATTTTAAGTTTCGGTTAAAATTGATTGAATTCCAAGACTGTAGATGTTTTATGATTGGCATGTACTCAAAGAAGATGACCATCTTTTAAAAGAAAAAAAAAAAGATTTATTTATTTGAAAGGCAGAGTTACAAGAAGAGGGGGAGAGAGAGTGAGAAAAAAAGTCTTACATCTACCGGTTCTCCCCAAACAGCCATAGTAGCCAGGGCTGGGCCAGGCTGAAGCCAGCCTAGAACTGCATCCGGGTCTCCTGTGTGGGTGACAGGAGTTCAAGCACTTGAGCCATCCCCTGCTGCTTTCCCGGCATGTTAGCAAGGAGCTAGATCAGAAGTAGAGAAGCCAGGAATTGAACCAACAATGACATGGGATGCCAGTGATTCAGGCAGAGGCTTAACCCACAGTGCAACAATGCTGGCCCTGATGACTGAGACTTAAACACCTATCAGGCTGTCTCAGCTTGAAAACGTTTAAGGATATTAATGGATTGGGATCTCAAAGGTCAGTCAGTAGCTGGTCTCGGTATTGAACAGGCTGTTCTTCAGCCAGATCCTACCTCTTTGTAGTTAGAAGGGAAGGCAGGATGTGTGTATATGATACAAGGAGAGATGGTGTTTTCCTAACTTAAAAAACTGGAGCAGGTACTAATAACTGCCAGTTTCTTGATGTGCATCAGAGGAGAGTAAGAAAATAGCGGCCGAGTTCTGGCTGTGGGTTTACTTTGGTCTCAGACATAAGCAGGCAGTTTTTGTCATGTTCGTACCTCCATTTTGTATGGTGCTCCCTTCAAAATTCAGAATCCTAGAGAAGACACTTTATATAAATGTTTGCAATCTAAACACCTATTATAAACATTTCTCCTGCTTTAGGGTAAGCCTACAGAGGCCTCCACAGAGGCGCGAGTCCAAGAATATGGAGAATTAGATGCTAAAGATTATATTCCAGGAGCAGAAGTCTTGGAAGTTGAGAAAGAAGAGAATGCTGAAAATGACGAAGGTTCGCTTCTGTTTCACTGTTACTCGGGGCACCATCACTCCTGCTGCATCTGTGTTGGCTTTAAATCTCCATGCGATCTGCACATTCCTTCAGCAGACATTTACTGAAAAAATAACTGAGTGGCAAGCATTCTCAAAGAAAATAGATCTTGAGCCAAAACCTTACAACCACTCTCCCTCAGCAGAGGAGGAACAGACTCTCGGGTTCCTCTCGGCTTAGCAGCCTTAGGAAACCGTGGAGCAGGCCCCCTGCTCATGGGGAGCTTATGGTCTCATGCGGGAGATGTGCACTTGTGGTTCAGGATGTCTTTTCATGTCAAGGACATGCTGTTTGGCACTTGAGAAAAATAACGGTTTTGTGTCTGTGGCATAAAAGAAAAGCACAGATTCGTTCTTGGGATGATCTTCAAACTCTGCTTGTTGAAGGAAAATGTTTATTGAACTTGAAGAATGTTTGAGGAACTCCTTTCTGATATCCAAGTCCTGTCTTCCTTTTTATTATTCATTCGTTCGTTCAGCAAAGCTTTCTTGGTTTATTTACTGAAAGAGTTACACAGAGAGAGGAATCTTCCTGCTGCTAGTTCGCTTCCCAGGTGGCTGCAATGGCTGGGGCTGGACGCAGCCCATCTGGAACTCCACCTGGAACTCTCGTATGGGTGCAGGGGCCCAGCACTTGGGCCGTCTTCCACTGCTTTCCCAGGCACGTTAGCAGGGAGCTGGATTGGAAATAGAGTTGCTGGGACTCTGGCTTTCATACAGATGCCCGTGTAACAGGCAATGTCTTAACCCGCTGTACCATAACATCAGCCCTCGGCAAAGGTTAAGTGTCCAGAAAGCCAGCCTTTGTGAATACAAAGATGAATGATACCGCTACTGTTCCTGAAGGCCTTTCATGAGAAGCTGAGCAGTAAAGTGTTAAAAAAGATTTATCATTGCAGTGATGCCTCAAGTGCAGAAGTCAGGCTCACCCCAAAAAAAGTCTTTCAAAGGCTTGAGAGCGATGGTTCCTGGTGAGCCAGGAGTTGGGCCAAGAGTGCTGGGATAGGAGAGATGCACGCAGAGCGTGAGCCAAGTCCTGAAGGACTGAGACACTAGGTGGGGCATAGCACAGTAGAAGGCTGGCGGCAGTGTATTTGCCCGACCAGGAGCTGGCCACTGTCCGGCAGAGCTGGGGAGCTGCAGGAAGGCCGTGCACGTCTGAGGTTAGAGAGCTTCCTGTGGGGGCTGCATTCAGGACGGTGACCCGCCTTTGTTGACGTGTCTACCAGGTTCTTTCCCTTCCAGAATCTTCTACCTCAGTTATCTGGGTGACTGTAACTAGTTTCCCATACATGTATAAATATGCTTGGCTGTATTAGTCAGGTACTTGTGTGGCCAGCACAGGTGCACAAGTGAAATTAACTTCAAGATGCAATGACTTTGAATAGCCCTTGTCTCGACTGTTGAGGAACAGGTTTGTTTTGTTTTTTGTTTATTGTGTTCCGTGCAAATTGCTGAACTCTTAGTTCAGAGTTGGTCTTCTGTGTATAAAGTTAATTGAAAATGGATCAGTATAGAATGGGACCAGGAGTGGGAGAGAGAGGAGGAGGAGGGGTGAGAGAGTGGGTGGGAGGGTGAGTATGGTGGGAAGAATCACTATATCCCTAAAGTTTTACTTAGGAAATGCATCAATTCTGTATTCCTTAAATAAAAGGTTTCTTTGGGGGGAAAAATAAATAAAAAATAACAAATAAAAAAAAGTGCAGTTTGGTTTGGTGCAGTTGGGCCGTAGAGTGAGACGTGGTGAGACGTGGTTTTCATGATTCTGGGGGAGGCTGCCGCTCCTAGTGGCGTGACGTAACCCCGAGAGTCCGTTCCTGCTCTGCTGAGTCGTGGGGACTAGAGAGAGTGGTTGTGAGGTTCTGGCTCATGGTAGATTCTTGGCTGGTGCTTATTCTCCATTCCTTAGATTAACTTTGTTGATGTGGCTTATTTAACATGAATACCGCTCAATGCTTGGCTAGCAGATACTCCAGGTTTGTGCCCTGCCTTTTGTGTTGCTTGATATCTGTGAGCAGCCAGCCTAACGTGACAGGAACGACCGTGTGCTTTCTTCACACAGATGGGTGGGAAAGCACCAGTCTCAGTGAGGAAGATGAGGAGGATGCTGACGGGGAATGGGTTGATGTGCACCACTCTTCCGACGAAGAGCAGCAAGAAATCGTAAGTCCTAACGTGCCCTCTTCCGGGTGTTCACTAAGCTGTGCGAGGCCTTGTCGGGAGGCTAAAATCGGACGGCTGCGTTCTCGCTTGAGCCCGCGGCCATCTCAGCCTTTCTGTGTGTGCTCTCAAGTCCCGGAAGCTGAACAGCATGCCCATGGAGGAGCGCAAAGCCAAAGCTGCCGCCGTCAGCACCAGTCGGGTTTTAACTCAGGAAGACTTCCAGAAGATCCGCATTGCCCAGATGAGGAAAGAGCTCGACGCTGCCCCTGGGAAAGCCGAGAAGAGGAAGTATATTGAGATAGACAGTGACGAGGAACGCAGGTAAAACGGCACGAGCTCCGGGGCTTCCGTCAGCTCGTGTTGGCAGGGCAAGCACTGGGAAAGGAATTCCACCCTCACTTCCTGTTTCCTTTTTCTCTCACCCCAGGGGCGAGTTACTGTCCCTCCGGGATATTGAACGCCTTCATAAAAAGCCAAAGTCTGACAAGGAGACAAGGCTGGCAACTGCAATGGTGAGTGAAGCGTGTCGTTCTGGTTCTCCAAAATTAAGGGTACAATTAGCAGAGAATAAAACATACAGATGTGTGAAGTTAGCGGAGTTTTGACAAGCGTGTGCAGCTGTGTAACCACCACACACACGCAGAACAAGATGCAAGCACAAACGGCAGTGTTACACGTTCATGTTCATGTTCACGTTCACATTCACATTCAGAGTGGGTGGCTCAGGGCGCTGACAGAGAAGCTGGACTGTCCGCCTGCGGCAGTGAAAAGCGCTGGCCAGGTAGAGTCTGCCCCTGGCTGTGCCTTGGCTGGCCGTGGCTGGCATCCCGCCTACCTTTCCAACTTCCTTCTGGACGTCTGCCCTGGACCCAGCCCTGGGAAGCAAGGGCTGTCTCCTGTCCATCTCGTGTCCCTGCATCCAGTACGGCACAAGCACACAGGTGATGTTGATGAGGATTAGGTAACTCCTGAAGGGTAGTTTCAGAAAACGTGTCCATCTTTTTGTGCGGATAGGCTGGGAAAACAGACCGAAAGGAATTTGTGCGAAAGAAAACCAAAATGAACCCATTCGCTAGTTCCACAAATAAAGAGAAGAAAAAGCAGAAGAACTTCATGATGATGCGGTATAGCCAGAACGTCCGGTCCAAAAACAAGCGTTCCTTCCGCGAGAAGCAGGTGAGCAGGCGGCAGGAGGAGGAGCGCTGTAAGCTGAGGCTGCTTTATGTTTGAGACGAGTTGGGCCTTCTGAAGATCACGTGTTTGTGTGTCCTTTGGGGTGAGTGCGAGCACAGAGGGGTGGGACAGAGTCAGGGTGCCCGAGCCGGCCGGCACTCAGCTGTGTGGCCAGCGTGGTGTCCATTTTCTCCTGAGTAAAAGTGCAAGCTGGATCATCTCCGAGGTGTTCTCCCATGCGAGTCTCCTGACCTGTGCCCCACGAAACACAGTCTGAAAACCAAGGACGTAATTTTATGCCTGGTGCTTTTCAAAAAACAATGGCTGTGTGTGACGATATCTCAGAAACAGCTTCAAGAACAGGATCCTTCCTCTGCGTGCCGTTCGCAAAGCTCGGGTGACTACAGGCCTTGGGGACGTCCTTTTCCCCACTGCCAGCAGTTGAGTGGTAATCCCGGCCGCTTAGTGGCTTTGCTCATTTCAGAATTCGTTGTAGCAAAACAAATCTATGCCTTTGTTTCCTCTCTGGGGAGTGCACCAAACTATATCTAATGTCATTGTGAAGAGTCTCCAGGATATTGAGTCCAGGGTAAAACAGCCCCTGGTTCTCAACAGCCAGGCACGATGAGCCTGCCAGGCCTGACCTGTGACAGCCAGCCTCCTGGGGCGGTGCTGTGTCAGTGTTGGCACCAAGAAGGGATTAACTGAATTAAAGTACCGATTAAATTCTCGCTTGCTTAATCTTTCTGTTTCTAAACTCTTCAGTAACATCTGTGTCAGCAATAAAGTGCCAGCATTTTTAGTAGAAACTACTGAAATTACTGTGAAAAGACAGGTGTCACCTACGATTTTAAGAACACTTGAGGCCGGTGCCACAGCTCAATAGGCTAATCCTCCACCTAGCGGCGCCGGCACCCCAGGTTCTAGTCCCGGTTGGGGCACTGGATTCTTTTCTGGTTGCCCCTCTTCCAGGCCAGCTCTCTGCTGTGGCCCGGGAAGGCAGTGGAGGATGGCCCAAGTGCTTGGGCCCTGCACCCCATGGGAGACCAGGAGAAGCACCTGGCTCCTGCCTTTGGATCAGCGCTGTGCGCCGGCCGCAGCGCGCCAGCCGTGGCGGCCACTGGAGGGTGAACCAACGGCAAAAGGATGACCTTTCTCTCTGTCTCTCTCTCTCACTATCCACTCTGCCTGTCAAAAAAAAAAAAAGAACACTTGAGTTTTGCCAAATTCTCCTAAACTTACAGTTGACTTGAATCCATTAGTTTATCCTTCAGTGGCCCTTAAGTAATACTTTTGGGTAAGGAAGAGTAATGATGGAGTGGGTGGGCCCTCCTCTATTATGTGATCCATGTGACTTTGTTACATTTGAGCTTAGGCATGTCCCCACCCCTCCTGTTCCATGGCAGGGCTTTTTGGCACAGTGGTGATGTCTTATTTCTTCCTTGTCAACACCTTGTCTATCATAGTTAATGAATTTTTTGTGAAAGAATTGAGTTCACTGGACATCTGCACTTGCTGGTTCAAGAATTTTTTCCTCTTTCTCTAATTTTCTAGCTGTTTGGAGCCTGGAATTAATCAGAATTTCTGTGTGTATCTCCTTGTCTTGTATTTTCCTCAAGGACTCTCCATTTTAAAATGTCACTCTAGGTTCCTGATTTTTCTATATTCTCTTCCTAATTGTTCAGTAGAAATGTAATATGAATTGCATACAAGATTTCAAAATGAAAGGAAAGATGAAGTTAATTTTAATACTATATCCTACTAGCCCCATGCATCTAAAGTAGTAACACTCTAACATATAAATCAGCATACAAATTATTAATGAGATGTTTTACCTTTTTGTTTTTAACTACCCAAAATCCAGTGTGTATTTTACACCACAGCACATCTCAGTTCGATCCAGTCACATGGCAAATGCCCCATAGCTATCTGTGGTTAGCTGTTCCCCAGTTAATTTCCTCATGTCTGAGTTACTGTAAAGCATTTACTGATTGTAAAGTGTTCTTAGCTCGTATACTACATTAAACAAACCCACCTGGAAACCAGCAAATACGGGAATAGTTCTGTTTCAGAGTATCTAACAGAGTTACCTTCGGTCTGCATAAATGCTGAATGCTATTTAGACATCTTTAAGTGGTCCCTGTGTGTCATATTGAATGGCCTATGTGGTCTTGGAAATCTCATCTGTTGGTTCTTAGAGTATTTCGCTGACATCTGCACAACACTAAGAGCCACGTGTGAAGCAGCAACACATCATCCCTGGTGTCTGCATCCTGCAGTCGCTCTGGTTTTGAGCTTTTTGTCCCCATGGGCCATGCATGTCCCCATTCCCTGGCAGTGTGGAGGCCCTCAGCCTGGATACAGATTTCGTCTCTGCTAAGAAATATTTCACCATTTGTAGTTTTGGGGGAAGATGTATTAACTCAGTGATTCCTTGTTGGTAAACTTTCTTATAACCAAATTAGCGTAATGGGATTACTTAAGAGATGCCGTGTTTAAGTAATTTTTTCTTATCTTCCAGCTGGCACTACGAGATGCACTTTTGAAAAAGAGAAAAAGAATGAAGTAACTTCCAAGCAAGTTTTCCAATCCAAAGAGAATGCTAAGTTTGTATCATTGCTTTGAGTATTAGTAAAGCAAGAATATTTGTTCACATTATAAAATCCAGAAGTATTATGTTGTGAAAACTGCAGTAAAGTTGGTGGTACTTCAGTGCTTTTACTGTGGAGGCGGATAATGGTGGCAGTGTTTGAAATGTAAATGGTAATATTGTGAACACATTTTCATGTAGCATTTATACCAAAAAAATTGTTGGGTGCCTACTACTTGTCATTGTACATATAGAAATGAATGAGCCATAACCCCTTTACCCAAGGCGGTGGCCGCCTAATGGGGACAGGTGTATACGTGTGCTTCCAATGCAATGTATATAGTTCCCTTGTAGGGATGGGTCCCTGTGCACCTGGGGTCCCTGGGGCCTTGTGGGCCACCCCTGCAGGGATGGGAGTTATATATTCTCTTAGAACAGGACAATGTTACAAGAGTAAGAGGTTCTTACTTGTGAATAGGCTTACCTGCTAAGAACAGGTCCCTGCTGTACAGAGTCAGACTAGACAGTGTAGCTCTTTCAGTCAGGCCAGAAGGCGATTTTGTTTTTGAATGCTGTGTAATGGTTTTTTATTAAGACGTCTCTTTGTAAACTGTCTTAACTGTAAATGGTAGCGCGTAGCTGGTCTTCAGTTCACCACTCAAGCTGTCTGCTCTTCATCTCAGCTTCCCTTCATCCCCTCCTGTTTGCAGCCCACTGTTTGCCGTGGCCCAGTCAAAGGTTCTCACGTCAGATCGGTGCTCCCCTGTGTGTGGAGAGGTGTGTGTTCTCTTCCCAGCACGCTCGAGCTGATCCCGGGGCCAGTTCCGTTGCATACAAGTTGTTGCACTTGGAATAGTCTGGTGCCTTTTGCTGCAGATTTCTCAGATGTCTTGTGACAGACAAGAACGTTCTCGAAATTGGAGTAAAAGGCAGTTTTCTGCCCTCACAGAAAGCAGCTCCTGGCTCACTTTTCTAGTTCCTTCCCAATTCTTTTGTTCACTTTCTGGGTCCAACTTCAGTTTTATTGAAGTGAAACTTTGTGACCTCCCCCATCACTGCTGGGCGAGTATGAGCTGTCTGTCAGAGGCAGCTGTCTGTCGCAGGAAGTGCCCAGTGCACATGGGTACACTTCAGACCTGAAACTGCTCCCTTTAGTGTAGTCTCAGAGCTGCGTGTCTCCTCTTGGGTCTGGGTTGAGAAGGTGGGTTAGATTTAAAATGGCGTAGCAGCCAAAGTCTGCCGCTTGCTGCCTGAGTGTGGCAGTGCCCAGGAGTGTAGGCCTTCCCTCGGGCTTCCCCAGTGCACTCGATGCCAAGAGGCCAAAGTCCGTTGTGTGTTCTGCCTCCTGTTGCACTGTGGCCCCGGTCTCTTCTATGCCAGCCTGAGGTTTAAATGCAACATGGGAAGGTACCTAGTTTTAAAAGGCTCATTCTTTACTTTTATTTCCTTAATTCTTTAATATCTTATTTGTCTAGTTCCTAGTTAGTTTATAAATCTTTGCTTCAAAATATTTCCTATTTATTGTTAATTTGAAGAAGTCAACAGTGGCTGAACTTGAGCTTTTCTGCCTCATCCACAATGATTTTATAACAAAGCATCTTATAGAGCTGGCAAAAGGCATGATCACACACACAAAAGAAGTGTACCAGGTGATGGATATATTAACTATCTAATTCAGTTATTCCACAGTATTTACATAAAACATCATTATATGCCATAAATAGAATTTTTGTCAGTTTAAAAAAAAAAAAAGGCCCAGCCTAGGGCGGAGGGACACCAAGGAGGGAGTGGGGCAGCTGGCAGTCACCGCAGGGCCTGTCTGCTCTCCGTGTGACACTCGGGACGAACGGGGGCCAGGCGGTGATCGCCCAAGCCTGCGAGGAAAAGTTAAGGGGTAAAAGTTGACCTCGTTTTGGTATGATTTTTGAAAGGGTGTGTGTATAAATGTTTTGTGGTGCATACTGTAATCCTTTGAAAACTTAACATCTCCAGAGGATTCCACGGCAGGTCTGTCTGCACCGGAACGTTCTGCTTCAAGGCTGTTTGGGTAACACGTTTAAGCTGTCGCGTGGCAGTGCTAAGGGCCATTGTTTCAGTTCCCGTGTCAGTGGTTCTGCAGTGTGCTTTGTGAGATTGCGGAGAGACCTTGACCACGAGTAAGGGGAGGGGTCGGCCAGGGACCTGGAGAAGTTTCTCATAAAAGGACAAAGCTCCCGTCACAGGGTGGAGTCTTTGATCTACACTTGTTTGAAAACGCGAACAAGAGCAGACAGCGCGGCTAATTCTGCAGTATTTAAGTAGCGTAGACTCTTTGTCTTGAGCCCTGTCTGTGGCAATTTTCCTTCTTCCTGCAGATTCTACTGTCGTGTTAGTCCAGTCACGATATCAAAATAGTTTAATAAACTGATTTGCCCATGTGATAAAATATCATGTGACATTAAAATGTTTACATTGGAAAATGCTTACTGTAAATGAACACGGAAGTATTTATAGTATAATGCAATTATACATGTAAGAAAATAGGGAATAATGAAAGCCCTAGAGGAACTGTGCCATGTATTACACAGTCTTCTTAAACGCTGGAATCACACGTGCATTTCTTCTTTTGATGTTACTTTCTGAATCTTCCATAATTATATGTTTTATTAAGAAAACAGAATAACTTTATTTTGAAGTAAAAATAAAGTACATCGAGACCCACCTGTGAGATTTCTTGCGAGTTGGGGACGCCCCTTAGCCCGAGGCAGGGGTGAGGTTGGAGGCGCGGAGGAGCTGCTGTCCACCTTGTGGATCCCCTTCCTGCTGGTGTCCTGACTCACAGCATCTGCACGCAGAAGGCCCTGGCCAGCTGGCGCTGCTCTGCCAAGCGTGCAGGTGCAGGTGACAGTTGGTGGCCTGCGTTCTGAGTAACTGCTCAGTGACGACATCAAGATCTTGGACTCCCCTTCTGCTTTTCCATTCTCAGTGTGCGGAGGCCAGACTTTGGATTAGAAGACTGACTCGGACACGGCTGCTTGATCCTGTGCAGCTCACTCAACATTTCTGTGCCTCGGTTTTTCCTTCTGTAAAATGGACATATGCTGACACCTTGTCTTCCATGTTTGAGGCAAAAGAAGAGGCAACAGTTGCGTTGCCACATCTGTCCTTTCACCAGGACAGCCAAAGCTTTAGCAGAATACTTCCAACAGGCTTCCCCTTCCATTTCATTAACCAGAACTGGGTCACCTAGCTACCCTACCAACCTACCAGCTGGAGAAGCCAGGAGAGCAAGAGGTGGGATTGCTGACCCCGCAGCTCAGAGGTGTACGCCCATCCCAACAGAACTGGCTGCTGTTAGCAAGGAGAGGGGGAATGGATTGAGGATAAACAGTTACCAATGCCTGCCGCGAGCCATCTGTGAGGACATATTCATTGTAATATAATTTTACAATGACAAAAAGGAGTACAAGGAAATGTCTAAGATATGAGAATAGTTAAGATATTGGGATATCATTAGTATATTTGATATATTAATAGAATATTTAAACAGTAAGCACTTTGGTAAACAGTAATGTGAAAAATATCCCACTTTTCAAAAGCAGAGCATAAAATGATATAAAGTGATTTTCAGATAACTTTTTTTACATTGTTAAAAAAATATATATATTTATTTGAAAGAGTTAGAAAGAGGGGCTGGCACTGTGGGGTAGCAGGTAAAGCTGCCACCTGCAGTGCCGGCATCCCATATGTGTGCTGGTTTGAGTCCCGGCTGCTCTACTTCCAATCCAGCTCTCTGCTATGGCCTGGAAAAGCAGTAGAAGATGGCCCAAGTCCTTGGGCCCCTGCATCCACGTTGGGGACCCAGAAGAAGCTCCTGGCTCCTGGCTTCAGATCAGCACAGTTCCAGCCATTGCAGCCATCTGGGGAGTGAACCAGTGGATGGAAGACTCTCTCTCTTTTTCTCTGTAACTCTGCCTTTCAAATAAAAATAATTAAATCTTAAAAAAAAAAAAAAAAAATAGAGATCTTCTATTCACTGTCTCACTTCAGCCAGCCACAAAGGCCAGGGCTGAACCAGGTCAAGCCAGGAGGCAGGAATTCCATCTGGGTCTCCTACATGAGTATTGGAGGCCAAACACTTGGACCATCTGCTGCTGCTTTTCCCAGGCTATTAGCAGGGAGCTGGATCGGAAGTAGAGCAGCCAGAACTGGACCTGGCGCCCATATGGGATGCCTTCATTGCCGGAGGAGGCTTTATCCACTGTGCCACAATGCCAGCCTGATTTTTGTTTACATTTTTAAACTCAATTCGAGATATATTTACAATTCTTCAAAACCACACAATAGTCTTAACATAATCATCATTGCCTATGCATTACAAACTAGGTCTGAAATCTGCTATGATCACATGGGATCCATGTCACAATTTGCAAAATGGAAACTAAAGTCTTGTAAGAAAACTCCCAGGGAAGAAAACATTTTTCTAAAATGTTGTTTTATTTTTATTTATTTACTTGAGAGGGAGACAGAGTGAGCAACTTCCCTTGGCCAGTTAAAATGCCAGCTTGGGTTTGAGGCTTGGTTTTGGCTCCTGACTCCAGCTTCCTGCTAATGCAGATCTTGGGTTAGTGAGCCCCTGGCACTCACACGGGAGGTCAGAACAGAGTTCCTGGCTCCTGGCTCTGGCATTTGGTACAGGGACATGGGAAGTGAACCAGCAGGTAGAAAATAGCTCGCTCACTCTTGCTCTCTCTTGCTCTCTCTCTCTGCCTCTCAGGTAGATGAAAATAAAACATTTTAAAAAAATTCCAGTAAGGAAGCATTGTGTCAGTTTTCTTCAAGGTCCCTATAACAATGGTACCTCTTACAGCTTACAGTTCTACAAATAAAATATATATACAAAACTAGTTGCTGGGTTTGGATGGTGGAAATATGGCTGAGGTTTTTGTTTTTTTCCCTGTCCATCTAAACATTTTGTAATGTTGCTTATAAGACATTTTTGCCAAGCATATTTTAAAAATAGAGATCGTTTTTAGTTTCATCTAAGCGAAATCCGATTTGGGTGTACCTGCTATTTCTAATATCTAATGTAACATCTGAATCTAACATCTGAGGTAACATCAGGGGTGCTTTGAATGGAAACTAAGGATGAAATGGGAAGATTCATTCTGGGAACTGTTAAAAAGGGGAAGTTTAAAAGAATTACATGGAAACTAAGTTATGACATTTGACACACTTCTGTATGGATACTTGATTCTTCCTCTTTCTAAAAATTTATTGTATCATCTTAACCGTGATTTTTTTAAAAAAATAGAAAATGAGACATAGCCATCTTACAATTTTGTTTACTGTTACCATTTTGCCTTTTTTAGTTGCTTGGTTAAAGAAAAGAACATTGGATATAAGTCCCTCCCTTCTCAGGGATAACCACTACTTTGGAGTATTTTTCAATGATATATGTACTTATATATGAGAGATCTTCAGAAAGTTCATGGAAAATGCATATTACGAACAAGCTGTGCATGAATTTAAACTTTGCTTTGCATCAAAACCAAACTCCTCTTAATTCTACATTGTGACTGTGTGGAGTGCCCTTGTATGTGTGTATATATATGGCACACAATATCGTTACATAACCAGCATTTTATTTATTTATTTATTTATTTATTGGCAGAGTGGATAGTGAGAGAGAGACAGAGAGAAAGGTCTTCCTTTTGCCGTTGGTTCACCCTCCAGTGGCCACCATGGCTGGCGCGCTGCGGCCGGTGCACCGCACTGATCCGAAGGCAGGAGCCAGGTGCTTCTCCTGGTCTCCCATGGGGTGCAGGGCCCAAGCACTTGGGCCATCCTCCACTGCACTCCCGGGCCACAGCAGAGAGCTGGCTTGGAAGAGGGGCAACTGGAACAGAATCCGGCGCCCCGACCGGGACCAGAAGCCCGTGTGCCGCTAGGTGGAGGATTAGCCTATTGAGCTGCGGCGCTGGCCATAAACAGCATTTTATATATTTTCTTGCTGACTAGGTACCTCAGTGTTAGATTCCTGATGAAGGAAGAGCCTTTTCTTTGTTTTACAGTTTCCACTGTTTAGTCCTACACCCAGGTTTATCACATCCCTACTGAAGAGCAGTTAGGTTGTTTGGACTTTTTTGCTATTTCAGAACCTTGCTCCAATATACATCTTTGGACGTGTCTGAGGGTGTGTGGTGTGCTTAGCATTTTTTCTTTAAGCAGTCTTTGGATAGAACTCGAAGGGCCAGCGCCGTGGCTCACTTGGTTAATCCTCCACCTGCGGCACCAGTATCCTATATGGGCTCTGGGTTCTAGTCCAGGTTGCTCCTCTTCCAGTGGAGGATGGCCCAAGTGCATGGGAGACCAGGAGGAGGCGCCTGGCTCCTGGCTTCGGATCGGCGCAGCACCGGCCGTGGCGGCCATTTGGGGAGTGAACCAACAGAAGGAAAACCTTTCTCTCTGTCTCTCTCACTGTCTATAACTCTACCTGTCAAAGTAAATTTAAAAAAAAAAAAAAAGAAGAGAAACTAGAAGTGGAAATGTTGGTTGTGGAGCCTGTGACGCTTCGCCTTTGGTAGGCAGCACTGAATTACACCAGAGGCCTTTATACATTCTGGATACTGCATTCCTACATATTCTTTGGGTATGAGGATTTTCAGAACCATTCCTGGATTTTTTTTTTTTAAGATTTATTTTATTTATTTGAAAGAGTTACAGAGAGAGGGAGAGACAGATAGAAGTCTTCCATCTGCTGGTTCACTACCTAAATGGCTGCAATGGCCAGAGCTGAGCCAGTCTGAAGCCAGGAGCCAGGAGCTTCTTCTGGGTCTCACATGTGGGTGCAGGGGCCCAATGACTTGGGCCATCTTCCACTGCTTTCCCAGGCCATAGCAGAGAGCTGGATCAGAAGTGAAGCAGCCAAGACTCAAACCGGCCCCTATATGGGATGTGGGTACTGCAGGCTGGGGCATTAACCCACTATGCCACAGTGCAAACTCCCTGGGTTCTTTTTAACAGACCTTGCTATAGCTTCACTCTCTCCCCATATTTTACTAGAAGCAGCTAAAACACTAAGTGGCAACTGTAGCATTTTGCTCTGAATACATCTAGAGCCCCCAGTGCCTTACGGCCTTCTTCTGCTGCCTTCCCAGGCACATTTGCCGGGAGCTGGATCAGAAGTAGAGCAGCTGGGACTCAAACTGGGCCCATATGGGCTGCTGGCACTGCAGGTAGTGGCTTAACCTGCTATACCACAATTCCGGTCCCCCCAATATATTTTTTACTTAGTTATTTGAGACACACAGAGAGAAACAGAGCAACAAATATCTCTCATCCACTGGTTCATTTCCCAAATGGCTGCAACAGCTGGGGCTAGGCCAGGTCAAAGCCAGGAGCCAGGAACTCAATTCAGTTCTTTCACGTGGAGGGTATGGACTCAAGCACTTGAGCCCTCATCGCCTCCTGCCTTCCAGGGTGCACATTACAGGGAAGCTGGAATCAGGAGCAGAGCCGGGACTCAGTGTGGGTTTTGGGTGGTCTAACCTTTGGCTTAACTGCCAGGTCAAATGCCCTCGCCAGCAGCCCCAGTGTATTCTCTCCCTTATGTTGAAGCTGTCTCCACGGGCAGTCTCCTTGAAGACCACCTGACTGCTGCTAAGTCTGTCCAAGGAACACTGCCCAAAATTTCTTCCAGCTTCCTGGCACCACCAGTT